AAATACAAATCAGGCCCTTTGGTGCTCTATCGTTAGGATGAAAACCATGAAAAGGAAAAGAATGCAAACACGTACGCATACATATTCTCTTGAACATGAAGAGAGGAGAGGAAAGTTCATTAAATTTCAAGATTCCAGTGGAATAAATTAAATGTATGACCTACAGGATATTTAACATCATGCCACGCAAAGAGAAATGGTTCTGAATTTTTAAAAATAATAATAACCTTAAAATTCAGATTAATCCTAGGGGATCCAAAGCAAGCACTTGTCCTGAACAAACTACAACCAGACTGTGAAAAACGATTTTAAAAATCAGTGACGTTCACTTGAAATCTGCGAAATTATTATTCTGCTTGGAAATCCTTCGAGCTAGAACAAGTTAATAGCAGACTTCTAAAACTAGGTTAAACATGCTGTAAATCAATTTATTTCCCCTACAAATCTGCTACAGTGCATGCTTTTCTGGTGAAAATGGCTCTGCAATGGTACTTAATACTGTCACTACACTGTTTCTCCAACCAGTCCAATCCAAGTTCCTCTTCCAGTTAAGGTGTATTAAAGTTCAGTGACTACCTTTGTCATACATAATAAATAACAGAATACAGATTCTTTAAAATAGCATAAGGAACCTCAAAATGTATCACACATGCAATACATTGCCTAAGTTTAGAAAAAAGCCTTAATAATGCACATGTGATCCAAGTTCGCCATCCAGTACTCCATTATCATTTCAGAGTTCAGAGGCAATCTGCACTATTGCCATCTCTCACAGATAGATGAGTTGTCCTCCACAAGCAGGCTTCAGGTAACACCTTTGGCAAGACAGCTTTGATAAAAGACTGAAACGAAGATTATGCAGCTACACAGTCTGTCCCATGTACTCTATTTTTTTTTAATTTTTATTTTATATTGGTGCATAGGTGATTAACGATGTTGTGTTACTTTCAGGTGAATCACAGCAAAGTGATTCCGTTACACATATACATGTATCTATTCTTTTTCAAATTCTTTGCTTATTTAGGTTATTACAAAATATTGAGCAGCGTTCCCTGTGCTATACAGTAGGTCCTTGTTGGTTATCTGCTTTAAATATAGCAGTGTGTACATGTCAATCCCAAACTCCCAATCTATCCACCCTGCCACCCTTCACCCCTGGTAACCATAAATTCGTTCTCTGTGAGTCTGTTTCTGTTTTGTAAATAAGTTCATTTGTATCTTTTTTTTTTTTTTTTGAGCCCGGATCACTAGATCAACAGTACATCTAAACAGTACGTCTATCACGTTACAGACAGACCACAAGACGTGATTAATTAGCTGTAATGGTTAAACTCTTGCAGGTATACAAGCTGACCAACACAATCCTCAATCTCATCCCTATTTAAAATTCATTTAGAGAATAACAGATCATTAAAGGTTGTCCAAAGATGTAAACAATTACCAAAGCAAGGGACTGCGCTTCCCCAGTTTGAGGAAAGAGGTGGAAAGTCACAGGACTTTCCGCGACTGAGGGCTGAATACACAATACATCTAAAACCATAATGTAGCCTGGTGTCAACACTGAATTTTGACTCCCAAATATTACTGTATTTTCTAAGTATCTTTATTAGGATAAAAATCTTGGTTACAAATTCTGTGTAAAGAACAAAGAAAGAATAATTTGAGGGAGGAAACAGGAGAAAATTTTTCAAGTGTGACCCAAGGCAAGACATCCTGGAGATGACTCTGTAACCAGGCTCAAATCACAACACCTAACTGTGCCTCAGTGTCCCTTAAAACTAAAGGGTTAGGCCAAAGCATCAGTCTCTAACTCCCTCCTGGCAGTAAAATCCAGTCACCTATTTAGGTATCACAGAGAACTCAAGTTTTTGTAAAATCCTAAGAGCATCTAACGGCAGCAGAAAATGTGCTTACGGTGCTTAATGACTATGAAGGGAAGAATGAGAAGGGTCTAAACAATCCTCCCAGTCTTGCATTTTTCAGTTTATACTGGGCTTAGGAGGGCAACTGAAATTAGATGCTTCATTTCATCCCACAATACCAATATAATTCTTATTATAATAAAAATTTTAACTGTACATTTTAAAAACATTTTGTTTTAAACAAATGTTTTTAAACAAACATTTTGTTTAAAAACAAAAGGAAACCACTTCACCTTCCTCAAATGAAAGTTAGTAGATCATCATTTGGAGGGTTGCGATGCTTGAGCTACAGTTATGAGTGTCAGGACGTGGAAGCAGCTGTCACTGCATTGTTTTTCATTCACAGTAGGTGGTTGCCAAGCAACAAAATACTATTGTCTGTTTCCATGATCTATTGGCCAATTTTACTGGTGATAATGCTTTCCACAGTTTAAAACAGGGCCACCATTTGGACAAGGAGAAATGAGAAAAAATTCTAAGGATGACAATAACATATATATAACTAAACACACTGAATGTACCCCCAAATTATGTGTATAAATATATAGCTGTGTGCTGATATACATACATACATTTTGCGTGTGTTTTTTTTTGTTCTATATATATTTTTGTTCTACCTACCTCCAACCCATCTCAATTTGATAGGCCAAAAACTAGAATCTAAATCCCTGAGGGCAAATCAAAGCATGACCTGGAGATATGAAAACACAGTAAGAATTAGTTTCTCAACAATAGCAATAATTACCAATTTGCCAGATGTATCAAATTCTGTCCTTTGAATACAAAGTTCTTCAGTCAGAAAAGTAATTCTACTTATATAAAAATAATAAATGGAAAGCCTTTACTATCTACTTTGGAATCATCAAACATATTTAATATGTCGTTTTACTTCAAATCATCTGCTACCACTGCGTACAAAGATAATAATTCAAGTGGGAATATTCTGCTTTTCTTTACACCCAAGAATCTTAACATATATTCACTTTTTAAATAATTGAACTGTGCTCCCTGGAATAGCCTCATGTGATTCCCCACTTTGTTTTGATATTGGTCCCTAGGGAATAACTGTCATGCTATGTTGCTCTTGCATATTTCACTAGCTTTCAAATAAAATAATGCACAGTGTACTCACTATAAAGTTGTCAACATTAGCTTGCATCAGTTGCTGTTTGTTTTCCACTGACAAGGCTTCTAAAGATAAGAATTACAATATCCTTAGATGTACAGACACAACATCAAAACAGCCTGAAGGAATTAAAGCTGGAAAGTGCTAGAGGCAATCATGCTTTGAAATGAAGAGAAATCAGTGTCACTTACGCACACACATATATTTCTGCAAAGACCCTAAATAATGCCAGAACAGTCTTTGGATTTTATGCAATGCTCGTCCGTCTCCCTTCACAATACCCCAAAGCACTTTAACTATTTAGTGCATCCCTCTAAAGGAGCCTTTGAAATTCACTTTTTGAAATTCATTACCACTTGCAAATCGATATATCGCAAGAAACTGGAATAAGCAAAATCCATTACGTGGATTGACATTATTACTATAAAATATATCAGAAGGGCAACGTTAGCAAGACAGAAACAAAGGGTGTTAAATAATGAACTGAATACTAGTCAAAATTACTTTTCCGGACAGAGCCATCTTCAGCAAAACGCTCCCGGGAGCGCCCATCCGGGTTTCTCCTTCACGTCTCACCCCACACATGACCCACTTCCTTCTCCCTCAGCTTCTCAAGGTTGCTCACCTGTGTCTGGCCCTCACCAAAAAACAATTTCCTTCTCACTTTCTCCACCCTCTTCATAACCATTAGGCACCCATTACTTTCTCCAAACTACCGGACTCAAATCTGCAGCCCAGTTTGCCACGAACCTCCCCATAAGCACTTGTTTCCCTCATCCTTCTAGATCTGCTTTAAAAATCGCCACCACCGAGCAAATACAATATTAATAAAAATAAGGTTACAAGCCAGTTTTTTCCTTTAATGTCACAGCAGCAAAATGTTGAGAAAAAAACAGAAAAGGAGAAAAGCAGGAGCGCATTTGGAGGAAGGCGGGTGAGAGCGTAGTTATACACAATAGGACGAGAGGATCCAACCGAGCCCCGCTTCCCCACCTGTCGACCCCAACTTCCCCCATGTGCGCGCCGCGGGATGACAACCACAACACTCCAAACCACCCCCCCCGGAAAGGAGGCGGGGTTACGCCTTCAGCCAATCAGGACCCGCAAGCCCCAGGTGTCCAACCTATGGGGTGGCCGTGGCAGTGCAGGGGGAGGACGTGGGGTGGTCGGGGAGGGGCGGCGTCCGTGGGAGGCGCGCACGTGTGGAGTCCGGAGAAGAGGGGAGGCGGCAGGCGTCCGGCTACCGAGGCGTAGGCTCTGCACCCTGGCAGCCGCCGAGTCCTGCTGCCCAATGCCTCTCTTGCCTCGGGCTGGACCGGGCCTCCCGCCGAGGAAAACCAGTCCACTGTGTCTGAGTTCCCCGAATAAGGGGACAGTCACAAATAACAACAATAGTACCTAGTTCAGACAAGGCGGGGAGGAAAGTTTCCGGCCCGCACCCAGAGGAGTCCGCCACGGCTGGGAGAAGGGATACAGGGCGGGAGGGTGACAACCGGGAAAGAAGAGAGCAGTGGGAGGGCTGCGCGAGCAGGACGCGAACCCGGGTGCGGTTCAGGGGGCGGCGGGCAGCGGGGTGCGCTGTCCAAGGTGCACGGGAGGTGGTAGGCGCGCGGCGGGCGCGGAGCCCGCAGCCAACACTAGCTGGCGGCGCGGGGGAGAGCTGAGAATAGCTGTCTGGGGCGCCAGGCGCCCCCAGGCTCGTAAAAGTCACCCGGCTGGAGCTGAGGTAGGGAGGGGAAGGGCGCGGGGGGCTGCGGTGAAGCCCCCACGCTCCCCTGCCCCCCTCCCTACCGGCCTCACCTCTAGCTCCATTCCCCTCCCCCCGAGCCCACTCCCCTCCGAGCCTCTGTCCTGGTGCCGCGGCGGCGGCAGCAGCGGCGGCGGCGGGACCGCGGAACCCTCGCTCCGAGCCTGGACGCCCCGGGGATGCTGCGGGCCCCGGAGCAGCTTACCTGGGGCTGCGGTACCGGTAGCGAAGGCAGCCAGCCGCGCGGACTCGGGCGCGGCGCGGCTCCTCCTCGCCTCGGCGTCCTCCTTCTCCGCTTCTCCCCGGACTCGGTCCAGGGCACGGAGCTCTGAGACCGCGCCGGGCTGCAGCTACCTTTCCCACCGCCGCCTCGGCCGCGCTACCGCAGACAGAGGACGCCCAGTGGCGGCTGGAAGCCTGTGTGAGTAGCGGCGCCGGAGAGAGTGGGATCTGCTGAGACGCGCTGGAGACTCCGCGGCTCAGGGCGCGCGGCCGTGCGCACGCGCGCCGGCGAGTGTGAGTGTGTGTGTGTGAGCGAGCGTGCGCGCGCGCGCCCACGAGAAGGGGGAGTCGCGAGGGGAGAGGGAGACAGGCCGAGAGACACTCGCAGGGACCGAGGCGAAATTCTTCGCCCTCGGAAATCCGTAAACCAGGGAAAAGAGGATCGAACGTGCGTGTGGCCCGGGGGAGCTGCCCGCGGGGCGGTGTCAGAGGAGGAGGGGAAGGCAGCGCGGCGCGCGCGGGCTCCAAATCCGAGCTGGGCTGGGCCGAGCGGAACGCGCAGCCACCGATGCAGCAGAGGCGGCGCCCGCAGCCCACTGTCGCGCTGCTCCCTCTAGGGAGGGGCCGGGCCGCTCGCTCCCGCCACCGCCGCTGTCCGGACTTCTCGGCTGGGCGCGTGGGGACGGGGATCGAGCCCCCACCGTGGCCACCGCAGCCTTGGAGGCGCTCGGCCCGCTGAGGGGCCGAGCGGGGAACCCGGCGCACGTGGCCGATTACCGGCTGGAGCCGGCGCGTGCAAGAGCTGCGGGCGTGGAGTGGGCGGTGGAACCCGGCGGAGCGCGGCCTGCCGCCTAGACTGGGTAGAGGAAGCCGGGCGGGGGAGCGAGGGTGAGGCCGGTCAAGGGTGCGGTCAGCAGGCACAGTCGAGGGTTGTGAGGGCTTCCACTCCGGGCGGAATGTTGCCTTTTTTCCTCCTCGGAGGCCACTTTTCCTCGAAGTTATCCACTTCCCAGGTAAAAGTGCCGGCTTCCTCTTTGTTCGGATTCAGCTAACTGTGCAGGCATCCGACTTCTTTGAAGTCCGGCTTCTCCAAGAACCGGCCAGCCTGGCGCCGCTCTTGGCCCTTTAAACCTCTACTCTCTCATTCAGCCAAGCTACGGTGTATACCATAGAAATAAAATTTTCAGGCACATTTACGTGCCCTTTCTCCTAAAAGACTTATTGTCCTAGCGGTATTCTTGTCCATGCTTGTTTTAAATTCTGAATGCACTTTTATTCCCTCAAGAATTTCTTAAAGGGTCATAAGGTCTGGTTGATACTTGAAATACCCTTCCTGGCAAGAATCCTCGGGCAGAGGTGGGGGCAGGGTTTGTGTTTCGTACACTTTTGCATGCCCTCCAGTACTGAGCCCAGCACCGTGTACTTTGTGTGTTCTCTATAAATGCTGAATGAATGACATTGTTTTCTAGCTTCACATGTCCTGAAGGCGAAGACTTGGATGCTGGGAAAGTCATTACCACCCCACCAGACTTGCTTGATTTTAACTTATACCATTTCCCTGTGTGTGACTATTTTCCCCTTTGTCGGCCAGAGCCCCAGTGCAAAGAATGACAGCAGAGAGTACTGACCCATTGTGCAGTCTCACCAAGGTGCTGGCAGAGATCACTCTGCAGGGAACCCGATGGGGCACCTGGGTGTGAGAAGGCTAAAGCGTGCTTCATTTCAGTCCTGGGGGAATCCAGTCTCTCAACATGAAAGTCACATTTCATTAGCAGTTTATAATGTCTTGTCTAGAGTAGAAGGGCAGGAAAAGAGGTTTAAGAGAAATTCACGTTTCTAATAGCTTGTCGGGTACAAGATTTTCTCTTGTAAAGAGCATTACTTAATGGCTACTTGCCAATACATGCAGGGTCACCCCAGACTACTAATTCTGCTGTAGCACCAAGCCCACATCCTTCAACCTTGGTATTTCTACAGTCATCCTCTTAGAAGCAAAAGTCCTCGATTTTACATTCCATGCTAAATTTCAGTCCCTTTGAACTCAGGCTCTTCTATGAGCTGCTTCTCTCTCCACTCATGATATCACAGCTTTGAAATAGAACTGAAATAAAGTGAAAATTAAAATGGATTTATTTGGGTGCTGCCGTCTGTTCTCTAGTGGGAGTTCCTTTAAATGATTCCTCTTCTGTCACTCAATTTACAATCTTCTTAGAAGCCACTTGTTGTGATATGGAATTCACGTGCTTTTTTGTTAGGTTGAAAGCTTAGATATTTTAAATTTTTACTTGAAAGGAAGCTCTAGAACTTGCAGAAGGAGCAGAAAAACTCTGACACCCAAAATGGGCTCTTGACAGCCAACCTTTAAAATGGCTATTAGAGTCTTCCAAAATAATTTTAAATAATTTTGTTTTGCTTAAAAAGTTGCCTTTATGGTTTCATTCAGCAGCTGCCCAAGTGCTTGCTTACTTGGTAGGATGGAAGAATGGAACAAAGCCATAACTTCTCTGATGAGCACCAAAGGGATTAGACTTGTGTTTGTAAAAACAAATACATTTACAAGAAGCCAACATTTAAAAATAAGAAGGTAGGCTTGGAGCAATCTTAATGTATGTTAATTTAAAAGATAAACCATAGAAAGAAAGACTAACAACATAAGAGAGAAAGTGTTTCTGACCCACTTAAAAGTTTAGAGGACTAGCTACGATTAAAATGCTATAAACCATAGCTCTTCATGCTAGCTAAACACTAAATAATAATAAAATGTTCTACCGAGAAATTCATTTTCATATGTTATTATCAGTTGAACTGAGAATTAACAGCATAATTATAAAGGTTCGATTTTTCTTCCTAAAAAGGGAATGCTCCTTAACATAACTGCTTTTTTCAATTTGCAGCAGTGCAATGAACTAGTCAAACATTAACTTCCTTAAAAATACTGGATTGGGAAAGGGTGGGGTGTGTAGAGAAACACTTCAAACTGATTTGACCACAATTAACTAATCTGCCCTCTAAAGTTATAACAAAAGCTTTCTGCCTCTGAAGACTGGTAAATTTAGGCTGTGAGATGTACCGTGAATTCCAAAGTCAACTGCTCATGCTGGGAGCAGATTGCTCCAAATTCTCTCAAGTGAGAAGGCAGGGACCGTTAGCTGAAATGCTGCTGTTGAGTTTAGTGGTTGTGAGCAGGCATAAGGATACAGGTAATTTCCCCCATAATTAGGTCACAGATCACTTAGTGCATTAGAGTTTTAAATGATAAAAAAACACCTTGACTTGCATCTGGACCCAAATGCCAGCTCAGTACAGAGTGTAGCATGGGAACAAGAAGAAGTTTCAAGTTATCCTGTTTCTCTTCATGCTCTTATACATTGTTTTATTCCAGATATTACTTAGGGCAATTTAATTCTAACTGGAGATCAGGCATGTTTGGGGAAGTCAAAAATCAGAGGGAAAAGGTTATAGTGTATTCCAAGCAAATGTAGGTGGGCTTCCAGAGTTATCAGTGCTGACATTCCGGAGACAGGCGAAAATATTAAAGACCACAGGTTCTTAATAGTTTATGGAATGATGGATTTCCTGGAAGGTGAAGAAAGCTCTAGATCCTCTCCTCTGCAAAGTGAGCATCTGAACACAAAAAAAATTTGAATAAAATTTCAGGAAGTTAAAGGAACACCCTCTGAAGCTCAGGTTAAGAACCCCTGTCTAACATAGATCCTTTGCACATTGATATTTATGGCTAAAGGGAAATGAATTGGTAGATATACTACTATCCTTACTTCTGTTTTTAATCCAGTAAGTTATTTGGTTGTCAATACCAAGAAGATGCATAAGCAAATCAGTAAACCCCACAAGTATTTATTGAGTACCTACTTCATAATCAGTACCATTCCTAATGCCATGATTGTTAACAAATAAAGTATAAAATGCAATCTATCTCTGCCTTTAAGGAGCCTACAATCTAGCTATCATTATTCTTGGGAACAAAAAAGTGAACATAAGCATAATTTATCACTTGACCAGGTACAAAAAACTTCAACTTGAATTACCAATGTGACTTACCGAGCCATTTGTTAAGTAAATAAACCATTCCATTGAAAATTGATTAGTGGCCAAGGTATATATGCATATTTTCATATTCATATTCCCTAGTAGTAACAACTTAAATTACCACACGATGTATAAGGTAAAAAGCTAGTCTGTTGCTGAATTCTGAATTTTAGATTGGGGATAAGAAGAAAATTACTGACAAGAAAAAAATCAGCCATATTGGCAATGGCAGCTGTGGATTAAGTATCCCTGGAGATCCCTGGTCAGAGTGGAGTTGATTAGAATATGCTAATCAATTTTATATAGTTTATATTTCAACTGATCCACAAATTAGTAGGACCACCCATGTGTTTTGAAATTTCTGTATCTACAAAGACCCTTCCGTCTCTTCTTGGATAATTTTAGTGTAATATTTTATTATGACTCTCCTTAAAATTTCTTAATTTTTGCCCTCTGTTCTTTTCACTTATTAACGTTATTTATTTTTGGTTAATAGAACTTTTGAAACTACAACTCCTTCACTCAATTCATGACAAACTTATAAAGAGGAAAAGCAATCACCCAAGGAAACAAGAGGTTTTCAGTTAAAGGAAGTGTTACCATGAACTCCTCTCCCACTTGTAGGGTGGCATGAACGTAAAGCCAGTCACATAATTAGAGCTGTGGAAAGCTCAACCATCCATGTATTGACCACTTACACAGCCTGCCTCTCCAAGGGCCCCAGAGGCTTCATGTGGGGACACCAGGACGACCAGTCACATCTTTTTCCTTCTCCAGAGGCAGTCTTAGTGTCATATAAAAATGGCACTGGACATCAAGTTGTAAGATCTGAGTTCAATCCCAGCCTGGCAAACAAGTTGCTATGAGACCTTGGGCAAGTCACTTTCTGAGCTTCAGTTGACTCTCCTGTGTAATGTGGACAATAATAACTACCTCATTGATTAAGAAAATTACAACGTGAGAAAGGGCTTCAAATGTTGTGGGAGCTAAGTAAGTCTACGCAATCTTGGATTTAAATCAAGTGTGTGGCAGAAAATTGGAACACGTACACGAATGGGAAGCTCCTGTAGAAATGCTGGAGCCTTTGTTAGACTATAACTTAAAGAACATTGAACTGATTTGATGATTTCTTGGAGTCCCTTCCAAGGATATTTTAAGAAAGCCACAGACAACCAGAAGTTGGCAGAAACAGACACATGCAGGAACTTGTGGGTTCCATAATTCTAGAGGTGTTGTAATTCTGTAAATTCTGCTGCTGTCGCAAAACCCAAGCTTTTGTGTTCATTTGTTTTTAATTAGTCTCTGTTTTTCCTGTCACACAGATCCTGCTTCCCCAATGGTGTTTTGAGCTGCTAACTTAGCTATAGGAACATTTATTTTACAGATTAAGACCAACTGTAAACTTTAGTTTTTTAAAACAAAAATAATTCACTGTTTATTCCTCCTTAATTGTGAAAGCAGTGTGTGTACTCATTGGGGGAAAACAAGTAATACAGAAATGTATAAAGAAGAAAAAAAATGCTGTAACATCACCTCTCAGGGACCAACCGACATTCCTACTTTGGTGTATACCTTTCCAGACATCTTCTTTGCATCAGTTTATTGTTTTAAAATGTCATCCAAGTCAACGTATCAGCCATTTAAATATATACTAGCATTTTAGCAAAAACAGTTAAACTCTTTCACAAAAAGATTCAAAAGTGGTTTTGGGTTTTTTTTTCCTTTCATACTCTTCAGGATTCTTTGCTCAGCAAGTCCTTTAAACAGGATTTTACCAAGTCATCCCTGAAACCTTCCCTTTTTACTTCCCCACTTCTAACAGTGAGTACTTCTTAATGACCCTTTAAAAACTTAATCTCACCTTGAGCTGCCTCGTTCTGGAGTCACAAGCCCTGCTCCTTGGCCTCTAGCCATTCTGTGGATGCTTTGCATTACTTAACCTCCACCCCCAAGATGAGGTCCGGCTCTGACCTTGGATCTGGTACTGAATTCCCTGATGGAGCAGGAAAGATTCTTGATTTCAATAAGTAACCAGAATGTTCACTGGAGTGACCATCTACCGGTTATACAGAGGGTTGGCCTGGAGGTGAATTATTTGTGTTCATGTTTTGTGTCAATTGCTGCAGGCAAAATTTGGGAAGTATGTTTTATTTTGTTTTAAGAGGCTATAAACAGTCCTTCAAGACGAAAATGCTGACTATAATTCCAAAAGAATCCCCTGCTTTTGCAATTGAGCATGCTCACTATTTCACCCAGGAAGCTATAATTATTAATGGAACATAATAACAATGTTTATAATTTTGTTGATTTGTTA